AAAAAAAAAAAAAAAAGAAATACAGACTTGTTCCCAGCTGACAAGAAGCATACTGCCTGGTACCTGCCACCTGCTGAGGGGCTTAGGATGTGAGGGAGAATCTGATGACAGTTTCAGGTTCTTCCCCAGAAATCAGACAAGAGCCAGATTTCTCCATGCCTGACTCTGGTTATTTCTGTTTTTGTCCTCCGTATTTGTCTGGTGCCCTGCCATCAACAGGGACTTTGGTCAATAATGTCCGAATCCCAAGAGGTCACAGGCTGGAATTGAGTGATGGAGACCTCCTGACCTTTGGCCCTGAAGGGCCCCCAGGGACCAGCCCCTCGGAGTTCTACTTCATGTTCCAACAAGTACGAGTCAAACCTCAGGACTTTGCTGCCATTACCATCCCACGGTCTAGGGGAGAAGCCCAGGCTGGGGCTGGGGCTGGCTTCCGCCCTATGCTGCCCTCCCTTGGGGCTCCACAGCGGCCTCTTAGCACCTTCTCCTCTACCCCCAAGGCCACACTAATCCTGAACTCCATTGGCAGCCTCAGCAAGCTCCGGCCCCAGCCCCTCACCTTCTCCCCTAGTGGGGGTAGACCAAAGAGCTTGCCAGTTCCCATCCCACCTGGGGAAGTGGGTATCACCCCTTCTGCTCCGCCCCCACGCAATCGGAGGAAATCTGCTCACCAAGTGTTAGCAGAACTGGATGAGAGTGAGCCTCCTGAGAGCCCACCACCAGCTCTTATGGAGCCCAGGAAGAAACTCCGTGTAGACAAAGCCCCTCTGACTCCCAATGGGTAAGTGGAGACCTCACTTGGCCTTCTCAGTGTTTTACTGCCTTTTGATTCCTTGTATCCCTAGGCTGGGAGGTGGAATAGATGGAGTGGCAAGACCTGGGTTAGCTCTGATAAGAAAAGAAAAATATGTGCAGGAGAAAATGAGAGGTGGGGTGGGGGCAATGTTTATAACAGCTGGAGTGGGCACATCCTACTTTTTATTCATCTAGCTTTAACCCCATTCTCCTAGAGCCTAAGGATGGGGAACTTCCAGGCTCACACTAGAGGTTTTTAGGCCCACCCTATGTGTTTTTAAAGACAGAGTCTGGGCTAACCTTAGTCCTCAGACCACTGTGCCTCTGTGGACTCACCCTATGACCAGCCATAGGGTGGCAAAGTCTAGGTCGTCTCCTACAGTTTTCCAGTGACTCTTGTATTTGTGTTACTTCCTTCAGAAATCGACGTGGCCATCCTCGTCCTCGGAAGTACCCAGGGAGCAATCCCATGGCTCCCCCTGCAGTTGGGGATGGGGAGCCCTGTGCAGCTCCTTGTTGCTGCCTGCCCCAGGAAGAGACAGTGGCCTGGGTTCAGTGTGATGGCTGTGACCTCTGGTTCCATGTGGCCTGTGTTGGCTGCAGCATCCAGGCTGCCAGGGAGGCTGACTTCCGATGCCCAGGGTGCCGTGCTGGCATCCAGACCTAAGGTCAACCATGAAGACACCCTCGGACACAGCTGCCCATCAGTAGACACAGCAGTGAGCAAATGGGTCTGATAAATGCTCCCGTCCCTTTCCAGGAGGGAATGACTGCAGGGAAGGGTGGATTGATGTGGACTCATTCAGGGCCTGGAGCAGAAGAGCCTGGTGGCCAAGGTGACAGAAGAAATGGCTTCCTGCCAAAGATATTGCCACCTCCAGGAAATTGCCAGTGAGCTGGAAGTTCCCATTCTTACAAGGCCATGTTGCCACGGACACCAAAATATCTGTAGTCAGAGCACTGATCAGTTGCAAAAGCCATGCCTGCAAATAATGGAAAACTAAGGGAGTTTTTAAAAAAATTTCTCTTTCCTGCCGTAAGAGGAAGTTCTTTTTTTTTTTTTTTTTGAGACGGAGTTTTGCTCTTGTTACCCAGGCTGGAGTGCAATGGCGCGATCTCGGCTCACCGCAACCTCCGCCTCCTGGGTTCAGGCAATTCTCCTGCCTCAGCCTCCTGAGTAGCTGGGATTACAGGCACACGCCACCATGCCCAGCTGAATTTTTGTATTTTTAGTAGAGACGAGGTTTCATCATGTTGACCAGGATGGTCTCGATCTCTTGACTTCGTGATCCACCCGTCTCGGCCTCCCAAAGTGCTGGGATTACAGGCTTGAGCCACCGCGCCCAGCAAGAGGAAGTTCTTAAGGTTCTTGGTGGCATCACCTAAGGCATTCTGGGAAAACCTAGGGCCTGGCCCCAAAACTTCCCTACTCTGTGGCTAGTCCTGTCACTGACTAAATCATAAGGACTGGGCTTTTCAGAGCTTTGCTTTTATTTCTAAGTCAAGGACAAGCAGCTTCATTCACTCCTGGGTATTTACTCTTCTTGTGGGTCTGTGGTATTCCTTGCTTTCCAGGGAGAATGCACTTGGCAAGGTCTGGAAAACTAATTCAGAATCTTAGGGGAAGGGGAGTAGAGATGAACAGACAAATATAAACCTGCTTACTGGAAAGGTACAAATATATGGGTTGAGCTGGAGGTAGGAATACAGGTAATTTTCTAGTTTAAGGGAAAACAGATCTACTGCCATTTAAATAAGGTAGCTGGGATTTGGTCAAGTTCACAAAGATAGCAGAAGTTTTACAGACTTCACCCATACCATCAGGACAAGAGAAAGCCTGGTAAACCAGCTCTAGCAGTTTACCAGCATGGTGGTTGTGACACAGCTCCACTCCATGGGTGGACACAGCAGAGGGCAAGTGGGCTGGCATGGTCCAGTGTGAATCCAACTGCTTAACCCACACGTGGTACATGTGATTTTCTTTTGTGAGCCTTACACCAAGCCAAGCTATTGTCAAAGCATCATTTGTACAGAAATAAAGCCTTATGTATTTGGTGAGTCACTTATGGGCAGGGTGTGCAAAAACCTTAAGTGCAAAGCAGATAGACCCTGGTATCAAGAAAGCACAAAATATTAATAGAAGTTTCCAGTTGGGGTGATTTAGGTACAACAGAAATAAGACTTGATCATAGAGCCATTTAAGAATTCCAGAGTAGGGCGGGGAAAGCAAAAAGCCAGCTCTGAGCTGGTAACAGCTACATGGTGACTGAGTATGGGCAAAAGTGTGGTGCCCAGATCCCATGTCACAGGCTTCCAGAAACTAGCTATAAAGGGGTCCTGTACAGATAAACTTGGCTCCAATCCCAGCTCTTCCTCTGACATTGTGTGACCTCAAGGAGTTTAAATGGCACCTTGGTTTCAGGGTCACTTGGGTATGAGCATTGGATATTCCCATCCCCACCTCAGTAACTAAAGGAGGCCAAACCAAGATAAATGTGTCTATCTACTGTGTCCCAGGCTTCTTTATTTAAGAAAAAAGTGATACATGTGGGGATTAAAATCAAGAGCATCATTGAACTTCACCTTCCCTTTAACCAGTTTCCCCAAACTCCCCTGCCCTCACCCTTTGTGTTCCCAATCCCTTCCTTAGTGAATGAAGAACTTAATCCTAAAAGCCCTGGCACAAACTCCAGGTTCTCCTTCCCTAGCTTCTCCTCTCTCCCTGTCCCCCATTCCTAGGACAGGCACCTCAGTTGGAATGCATGGGAGAGCCCAGAGTGGGGACAGAGACAGGGGGGAAGGCTTCCCCCTCAGGGAAAGGGACCGAGGAGTACAGTGCAGTGAAGTGAGGGCTCCCATAGCCTGGGGTACCAAAATGGGGCCCTGGGGCCAGAGGAAAGGACACTGGTCCCCCTGAGAAAGGAGACCCAGCAGCCTCAAAATCCTCTCGTTGTGCATAGTCACTGCTTGATCGCTTGCCCTTCTGGCGCTGGTTACAGAACCACACACGGACCACATCCTTCTCAAGCCCAAGCTGCTGGGCGATGTGGCTGATCTGCTGAAGTGTGGGTTTCGGGCACTGCAGGAACAAATTCTCCAGGTTGCCTCTCACTCGGTTCTCGATACTGGTTCGCTTTCTCTTTCGGGCCTGCACGAGGGTTTCTGCTTTGCATATCTGTGCAGGTGGGAAGAGGGTACAAGGGCAAGCTTTGGACTTGCTGAGTAACAGCATCACCAGGGTCTGTGACTAGATGTGTCAGCAGAGCCAGGTGGTATGTAAAGGCAAGATCCTGGAAAGGTTGACTCTGGACCTTCTCCAAGCAGAAGGGAGGCATTTTACTCCATCCCACTGAGAACTACTGCACCAAAGAGGGACAGCCACCAGCCAGGAGTGGAAGCAATGGAAACTGGGCCAAGAAAAGGAAGGTACTCGTGTACCCCCTCCCACCCTTACCTCCTGAAGATTTTCATTGTTATCTGCTTCCTCCACCCACTTCTGCAGTAAAGGCCGCAGCTTACACATGTTCTTGAAGCTAAGCTGCAGAGCCTCAAAGCGGCAGATGGTCGTTTGGCTGAACACCTTTCCTGGGGGAGGCAAGTCAAAAGAGAAGCAAAGTGAGGGAACACGCAGGGCCCTTGTTGACTCCAAGATCCAGGCTTCCCACCTCTTCCCAGAGGGAGCTCAAAGACCAAGCATCTCCCTCTCCCCTTCTCTTCACAGGTGACAGTAGAGTTTGCCCCTGCTCCTCCCCCACTCCCTTGTTGGGGAGGAAAGGCCTAGGTTCACGAATGTTCCTTAGAGGGGATATGTGGTCAGAACATGCTGAGTGAAACCCACCAAACAGAACCCCTAGGGTGAGCCCCACATCGGCCTGTGTATATCCCAGAGTGATCCTCTTCTGCTTTAGGAGCTTGGCAAATTGCTCGAGTTCTTTCTGCAGAGCTTTGATGTCTTGGGACTGGATTTTAAAAGACAGAAGACATGTAAGAACATAAACACACCAGTTATCAATCCCCTTTTCATTTGGGATTCAAGAACGTAACTGTGGCCCCTAGGAATGCTCTGTAGGAGTGCCTCTGCCTCCCAAGCTGCCCACCTAACTTCTAGAAATAACCCATCCACAAATGTTATTCACCCATCATTCCCTGTTCATTGACTCATGCCTGTAACAAGGGACTGTTCTTCCCCCAGAAACCGGCACATCCAGGGGATGCAGGGCACTGTGAAAGGACAGAAACGCCAGTCAGGTTATGAAGGTTAGAAGCTCCCGCCTGACCAGCTCATTTGATACTTGCAAAAATCTCTTTCAGTTCAGTATTACCCCCAGTTTAAGGACCTTTTGAGGCTAGAGAAATAGATAAGCTGCTAAGTTCTGGGTTAATTAAAAAGAAAGAGCATCGTGTCTCTGAAGCTAAATTCAATTTACTCTCCGCAGCTTGCTTTTGGGGTCCCACACACTGTGACATGGCATGCATATGCCCCAACAGCAAAAAAGGAACAGGTGTCAGCAGAATGAATAAAATGCTTTGTGTGTACTTAATGCTCATTTAAAAAATTGATTATCCCTCATTTTTACTGTATCTTTTTCACTATAGAGGCATCCTCATTGATTTTTAAATTCAACAGATTTATTGAGCACCTTCTATAAGCCAGCAGCTATACACAGTGGACAAAGAGCCCTGACATCCAGCATGATAGAGCGCTATTTGGCACTTGTTCAAGTCATCCACTTGGATCTCTTCCAAGTGCATTTTCCTTTTTTTCCCTGCTCTAAAGCTTTTACACACACACACACACACACACACACACACACACACATATATAGGTGTTTGTTTGTTTGTTTTATTTTAAATAATTTTTTTTTTCTTTTCTAAAGATGGGGTTTCACCATAATGGCCAGGCTGCTCTTGAATTCCTGACCTCAGGTGATCCACCCACCTCGGCCTCCCAAAGTGCTAGGATTACAGGTGTGAGCCACTGCACCTGGCTCTAAAGCTTTTTAATAATAAACTTCCCCTCTTTCCCTAAGTGGCCTGAGGTAATCTGTGAAAATGGTTTTCTCTTCACTTGACCCAGAGAACCCCACAAAATCATGCAAATCTAGAGGTTCCAATCTTTGTGTTAACTTTTTTATTTTATTTAATTAATTAATTAATTTATTTATTTTTAAAGATGGGGTTTCACCATGATGGCCAGGCTGGTCTTGAACTCCTGACCTCAGGTGATCCACCCACCTCAGCCTCCCAAAGTGTTAGGATTACAGGCGTGAGCCACTGTGCCCGGCTTCTTCGTGTTAACTTTAAGAACACTCGTGGAACTGCCCAGGCCATCAAGGGTGTGCATATATGAAAAGCCATGAAGTATCTGAAAGATGTCACTTTACACAAACAGTACATAGCATTCCAATGTTACAGTGGTGGAGTTGGCAGGTGTGCCCAGGCCAAGCCGTGGGGCTGGACCCCACCGTGGGTCGGTGACCCAAAAAGAGTGCTGAAATTTTGCTGCACATGCTTAAAAATGTGGAGAGTAATGCTGAACTTAAGGGTTTAGATGTAGATTCTCTGGCCATTGAGCATACCCAAGGGAACGAAGCACCTAAGAGGGGCCGCTGGACCTACAGACCTACAGAGCTCATGGTTGGATTAACCCATACATGAGCTCTCCCTGCCACATTGAGATCATCCTTCCTGAAGAGGAATAGCTTGTTCCTAAACCAGAAGAGGAGATTGCCCAGAGAAACTGAAGACACAAAAACTCATGGCACGGAGTAAATTCAGCATTAAAGTAAATGCAATTAAAAGGAAAACAATAACAATAATAAACTTCCACTCCTGCACTGAAAAATAAAAAAAGTAAATAAAAAGTGGCCAGACACAATGGCTCATATCTGTAATCCTAGCACTTTGGAAGGTCCAAGCAGGCAGATTTCTTGAGCCCAGGAATTTGAGACCAGCCTGGGTAACATAGTGAGACCCGTGCTGCCTCCTCCCTCTGTGCTATGGAAAAAGGT